GGAGAGGAGACGATAGTGGAGGAAGAGGAGAACGGGGAGGGAGAAGGAAGGAGGAGATAGAGGGGGACGAAGAAAAGAATGGGAGGGCGCAATCGTCCGTTTACATGCTCCTCTGCCTCCTCCCTCTCCTCATCCCGCTCCCCCTGAAATGGATGCCACATCGTGGAATGTCAGAATCCTGAGAATTACCATCCCACTTTTCTCCCTCCGTCCCTCTCTTCCCCCCATCCACCCGGTCTCGAACAGGGAGGAGAGGAGATGGAAGGGGAGGAGAGGGAAGGGGAGGAGGGAGGGAGGGGGGAAAGGAGTGAGGAGGAAAAGGAGGAGGAAGCGGAGGAGGGAGCAAGAAGAGTCTGGAAGAGTCTGGAAGAGGAGGAGGAGGAGGAGGAGGAGGAGGAGGCAGGGGGACAGCATATTGGCGCGTGCGACGAGTCCGACGCTCCTCGTACTCGATGGACCCGTTGTTGTTCGTGTCGACGCAGTCGATCAGCCTCCCCAGGTCACCCTCCGAGAGGTTCGCGTTGATAGCCTCGGGCTGGGAGTAGGGATCATCGACAACAGCACCACCGTTGCAAAGAACATGAGGGGCAACGATCGGGGTGGGGGGGACACCGACCTGGAATCGGCGATACATCGCCGATAGATCTGCGAGAAACCCTCGATGGGGAATCCGCACCTTCCTGGGCAGCTTGGGGTCAGCGGGCCCCCATCGGCGCCCCCAAGATCAGTGGAAGACATTTGTGATTTCGTGATGGCGCTGTTTTCGGGCTTCTCGCTCGAGGCATCTCCGACGTCAAGCTCTACAGTGGAGGCCAGTCCACAAGAATCCTTCCACAAGAAACCCAACCCTGAGACCCCAGGACGTTCATTGATTTTTGGTGTGGGAAGGGGCCACGCTCTGGAGAGCAAGCCCATCGAAACCCAAGAAACCCAGGGCACCCTGGAGGCAAGCAGTGTGTTTCTTGGCGTGGGTCTCCACTGTAGAACTCTAGAACAGCAGGAGGCCACACCGAAATCGTGGAGGTCCGCGCGGAGACCTCGGGTCGGTGCCGGCCCCCCCCCCCTCCACAGGGTAACACCGGTGGGCGTCGCCGCGGCGCCGGGGAAGGGGTTTGGCCATGGAGGGAGGGGGGGGCCAGCGCTGACGTTAGGTCGGGCATGTCCTCCTACAGGCGGAACCTGGAGGAGAAATAAGAAGTACTCGAAGCATAATCAAAACAAGTAAAAGCAAATGAGACATACAACCAAAACTCTGATAATCAGCCCCAGATTATTTTTTGGGGCTATATTTGGATATACCTCCTGTAGGGGGACATGCCCGACTTAACACGAGAGCTTCGCGCGGACCTGCCGAAGTTCAGAGTGCCGTGTCTGTGTTGAGCAGGGACCGACCGTCCCAGCATTCCTATAGGCCTACCACGAGATGTTCTCAGAACCCCCTAAAATGTTCCACGAACAACAACAATGTCCTTGAACACATCAGCCCGATAGGTTAAAGCAAGACGGTCCCCGCCAGAGATGTTCTAACAAAATCTCGTGGACACCACAGAAGGTTCCTAGAAAACTCTTTAGTAGGCCTCTAGGCGAGCCAGGACGCTTCGCCACTGCTTGACTGTGTCTGTGGCCCTCGGAGCCTTGGGGCGTGGGGGGGGCCGTGGACCGAGCCCGGGGACCCAGGGGAGGGTCGTGGGCACCCTCGTCGGGGGCGACTCTGCACGTGATTGGAGGAGGAGGGAGGAGGAGGAGGAGGAGGAGGAGGAGGAGGAGGAGGAGGGGGAAGAGGAGGAGGAGGAGGAGGAGAGGAGGAGGAGGGAGGAGGAGGAGGAAGGAGGAGGAGGAAGAGGAGGAGGAGGGCGAGGGAGGAGGAAGAGGAGGAGAAGGAGGAGGAGGAGGAGGGAGAGGGGGGTGGGCGCGCGCTTACGCGCTCGCTCGGCCGTTCGCCCGCTGGGGCCGGGAATCACCTACTGTCCTGAGGTCCGACGTCCCGAACAGATTGTAACATCGTACACAAAGAACCACTCAGGTACTACCACAAAATGCTCTCTAGAGAGAAGAATCAGATCATTTCAAAAACCACGTTCTTCGAAAGCGATTCATTGGCCAATACTGTCTCAGACAAACAATGTTCGAAGTGCATTTCGTGCAAATCACATACAGGTTTTTAGAATTAGAACAATATTTTTTGTGAGCCGATAGGCACGTCGGGAGGCTTCGTCACTGCTTGAAGGGAGGGTCTGGCATGCAGAGCGCTGCCAAAGGCTCACATCTGGAATTCACCTCGCTCTCATTCCATGGGCAGACATAATCCAATAAGAGAGCCCTGTCCTACCCACTCCTGCATCCGTTCTGCGTGCATGCCTTCCAGTGCTCGCATAGCATGGGGGCAACGTGTCCTGCGGGGAACGGATCCTGGACAGTGGAGCCCTCCCCCAGGACGAGTTCTTGATCCCGACTCGTTTTCTGACAGCCCTGGGGCCCGTGGAGGACCCGACAGCCAGAAGACGGCGATAAACCCCAAAACCCCTTTCCCTCAGGACCCGCTTCCCTCGCGGCGACGGGTGCCCTGCCACTGGCCTTGAGCACCCTGCGCATCTCGCCCTTCTCTATCATGCCGCTACCGTCGGCGTCCCAGGCGTTGAAGATCTCCTTCATCCTGGCAGCTTCGCCTCGCCGGTTAGGCAAGAAGAACTTGCCGAAGAGCTGATCGCACTGCCTGCACAGCAGGCGGCCGACCAGAAGGACGCTGTCCTCAAATGAGGAAGAACGGCATTCACATAAACGTTCGGAACTTCGCGCGGCTTGATTGGATCCGCGATGGACGCGCCTACCTGGCGCGCTCCGCGCGCTAGGGGCGGCGCCAGGGGCGCCGCTAGGGGGGGCCAACGCCGATCCAAGAAATCCGCGTGGACTGTCGAAAATGTATGATATGGTGCGTGTGTGTTTCTTTTGTGGGCATCGTTTAACATATCCTTCTCCCCACTGGCGTGGTCTTCACCCCACTGGCCGACTTACCCACTTAGGTGAGGATATGTGCCTGTTCTTCCGGGCTTCCCGGGGCCGAGCCCCACCGAGTAGGGTAAGCTGGTGGAGCTAAATAACCATGGCCGAGTGGGAACGGGTACAGGTGAGGCGACGCTGATCTCCGATGTCCTCGATCGACACGACCTCGTGGCCGAAAAACATCTGTATCCGCGGCCTCGCGGGCCCGACCCCTGGGCCGCGACCACGCGGATACGGAGCCTTCTGGTTCGCGCATGCCCCGAGCGGAGCTTACCCGTGCGACAGCGTATCCGTGGGATCGCGCCCCGAAATCCAGACAGCGAGGGCGCGGATACAGAAATGTTCGCCGCTCGTGGTGACCTGCATGCAGGAGCTGCAGCGCCGGCACATCTCGTGGTAGGGGTCACTGCCGGCGGGCGCGTTGAGCACCGGCTCGCCGCAGGCGCAGCAGGGCGGCGCCCGGGAGAGCTCGGCGCAGCTCGCGCACACGAGTCGTCCCTTCGAGAGAAGACAAGATCACAAGCATAGACTTCAGATTTACAGGACGAGAGGATACGGACACCGCTGCCCGTCCTGGATTGCCCTCGTCACCACGGCTGCATTCTCCTCAATCTCTCCTGGTCACAATGCGCCCCGGGATAGGCGCGTGGAGTAGCGGTATAGGTACCTCTTCGCACCCAAAAGGTCCACGCGGATTTCAGGGATTCTGGGATTAGCATGAACATGCCTCTTCTTCGAGCGATCCCCACCCAAGGGCGCGAGGTGAGATCCCCAGGGAGCACCGCCACACGTCGGGTCTGGCGGCCGCGGTGCAGCCATCGTGCTGCACTAGGACATGATGGGTCAGGAACGCAGGGGCTTTTCTGGCCACGGCGAGCCTCGGCCACTACCACGAAATTTTCCCAGAACCCCAAAATGCTCGAACTACAAAAGCAATGTTCTTAGAACAGAAGCACGATGGTTTAAATAATGACGGTCCCAGCCAAAAATGCTTTAAGAACACTTCGTGCAGCCCACAAAGACTCCTTAGAACATTACATGGTGGGCCTACAGGCGAGCCAGGACGCTTCGCCACTGCTTGATCTCAGGACCGGCCAGCAAACGATCGCCCCTCCTGAACTCAAAGCGGCCATTATTCCAGCGTCTTGCCTGCCTGCAGTCGTGGTTCGTCCTATGTGCACGAGGCGGGACACCCACGGCACGCTTCGGCGTCCGGCGGCAATGGTACGCCACCTGACATCCCCAGCCCGCCTGGTGGGGAAGAGCCAGAACTCTCGGAGCTGCGCGTGGATCTCGCCGTCGCTCGGACGTCCCATTCCCTGTGCATGTTTCTTGGTTTCGTGCGCGTTTCTGTTCGCAAGATGGGCGAGGAGGTTCCTCGAAGGTCCTCGCCGAGAAACAATGCACACGCCCGAGCGATTCCAAGGGATTTCTTGGATCGCTGCTGACCCCCCCACCCCTGGCGCGCCTCTGGTGCGCCAGGGCCGGCGCGAAGAGGCGCCGCCAGGGGTGGGCCCAGCGCCACCCCTGAGAAATAGTAGCCAAACAACTCTTTGTGAAACACCCTGGGGACGAAACACCAGCGCGCGCAGGCCGCAACCATGGCGCCCGCAACACTTTCGAGAGAACCGACGAATGCCAAATCGCGAGCGAACTTGGCAGCGTGGGGCTTCTGTCAGCCTCCGACGAAGGCTTATGTTCATGCAGATTCTGAAGCAACGAAAAGTACCGATACCGCTACTCCCCGGACCTCTCCTGGGATGCGTCCTGGCCAAGAATTCGACGCAACTCCAACCGTGGCGACGAGGGACTCCCAGGAGGCCCCACCAAAAAGGAAGACGGTGGAAGGGCATCGGTATGGGACTCTCTGAAAAGAAAAAGAAAACGAATCATAAGAAGAAAAATAAGAACCAACTGCATAAACGTAATATGTTGGCGTTCCTCGCGGATTTCTTGGATCCGCGCTGGACAACCCCCTCCTTGGCGCCCGGAGCGCGCCAGGGACGGCGGGGGGCCCAGGCGCCGGTCCAAGAAATATCCGCGCCGAGCGCCAAAACTTTTAGGCATGGTGTTTTTCCCAACCAACATCCTGTGGTGTTGGGTCCTCGCTTTATAGAGACAGCGCCCGCGTCCTCCTTTCTTCTCCTCCCGCTGCCTCCCCTCCTGCTCCTCCTGCTCCTCCTCCTGCTCCTCCTGCTCCTCCTCCTCCTCCCCCTCCTCCTCACCGTCCTTGCCTCTGCCCCTTGCATGTCTCTGTTTCGGCACATCCCTCCCATGGTTCGTGGCCCCATAGGGAGCTCCACCGAAGGCCCCAGTGGCAGCGTTCGCATGCAGCTCCACACTCATTTCGGCACACCCCTCACAGGGATCGTGGCCCCATAGGGAGCTCCACCGACGGCCCCAGTGGCAGCGTTCGCATGCAATTCCACCCTCGTTTCGGCGCACCCCGCACAGGGTTCGTGGCCCCATAGCGAGCTACACCGAAGGCCCCAGTGGCAGCGTTCGCATGCAATTCCACCCTCATTTCGGCGCACCCCTCGCAGGGTTCGTGGCCCCATAGAGAGCTCCACCGAAGGCCTCAGTGGCAGCGTTCGCATGCAGTTCCACCCTCATTTCGGCGCACCCCTCACAAAGTTCGTGGCCCCATAGGGAGCTCCACCAAAGGCCCCTCATTTCGGCGCACCCCTCACAGGGTTCGTGGCCCCATAGGGAGATCCACCGAAGGCCCCAGTGGCAGCGTTCGCATGCAGTTCACAGGGTTCGTGGCCCCATCGGGAGCTCCACCGAAGGCACCAGTGGCAGCGTTCGCATGCAGTTCCACCCTTATTTCGGCGCACCCCTCACAGGGTTCGTGGCCCCATAGGGAGCTCCACCGAAGGCCCCAGTGGCAGCGTTCGCATGCAGTTCCACCCTCATTTCGGCGCACCCCTCACAGGGTTCGTGGCCCCATAGGGAGCTCCACCGAAGGCCCCAGTGGCAGCGTTCGCATGCAGTTCCACCCTCATTTCGGCGCACCCCTCACAGGGTTCGTGGCCCCATAGGGAGCTCCACCGAAGGCCCCAGTGGCAGCGCATGCAGTTCGCATGCAGTTTCGTGGCCCCCCTCATTTCTCCACCGAAGGCCCAGTGGCAGCGTTCGCATGCAGTTCCACCTCATTTCGGCACACCCCTCACAGGGTTCGTGGCCCCATAGGGAGCTCCACCGAAGGCCCCAGTGGCAGCGTTCGCATGCAGTTCCACCCTCATTTCGGCGCACCCCTCACAGGGTTCGTGGCCTTATAGCGAGCTACACCGAAGGCCCCAGTGGCAGCGTTCACATGCAGTTCCACCCTCATTTCGGCGCACTCCTCACAGGGTTCGTGGCCCCATAGGGAGCTCCACCGAAGACCCCAAGGGCAGCGTTCGCATGCAGTTCCACACTCATTTCGGCGAACCCCTCACAGGGTTCGTGGCCCCATGGGGAGCTCCACCGAAGGCCCCAGTGGCAGCGTTCGCATGCAGTTGCACCCTCATTTCGGCGCACCCCTCACAGGGTTCGTGGCCCCATCGGGAGCTCCACCGAAGGCCCCAGTGGCAGCGTTCGCATGCAGTTCCACCCTCATTTCGGCGCACTCCTTACAAGGTTCTTGGCCCCATAGGGAGCTCCACCGAAGGCCCCAGTGGCAGCGTTCGCATGCAGTTCCACCCTCATTTCGGCGCACCCCTCACAGGGTTCGTGGCCCCATAGGGAGCTCCACCGAAGACCCCAGTGGCAGCGTTCGCATGCAGTTCCATCCTCATTTCGGCGCACCCCTCACAGGGTTCGTGGCCCCATAGGGAGCTCCACCGAAGACGGTACTCACAACAACTGCATATATTTGGGTTCTTCGCCCGGCGAGTTTTCTGCTTCGAAAATGCAGGATGACGTTAAAAAAACATAGGTGGAACGATTAAACAGAGTCTCTTTGATTTCTACATGATTGTTCAATGGGAAGAGGACGATTACTTGTCCCTCCTGAACCAGGAGTTAGATGCGAATCACGCGGTAGCAACGAGGGCCTCTCAAGAGGCCGACACAGGGGTAAAACGAGGGAAGGGCATCGGTATCGGTACCTCTCCCTCCGCTGAGCCCAGCTCCCCGACGTTGTGATTTGTTCACAACATCGACCCCCAAAGTCTGGACCCTTTACCCAGGACCAGCTTGTCATCATGAGTCATTTGTTGACGGTCCTGAGGCCCTGGTAGGGGCCACGGAGGCCGAAGATGGCGAAAAGCCTCCCGTCGTGTTTTTCCCAACCATCCTGTGGTGTTGGGTCCTCGTTTTAAAAAGACAGCGCACGCGTCCTCCTTCCTTCTCAACCCGCTGCCTCCCCTCCTGCTGCTCCTCCTCCTCACCCTCCTTGCCTCTGCCCCTTGCATGTCTCTGGTTCGGCACACCCCTTAGGAAGCTCCACCGAAGGCCCCAGTGGCAGCGTTCGCATGCAGTTGCACCCTCATTTCGGCGCACCCCTCACAGGGTTCGTGGCCCCACGGGGAGCTCCACCGAAGGCCCCAGTGGCAGCGTTCGCATGCAGTTCCACCCTCATTTCGGCTCACCCCTCACAGGGTTCGTGGCCCCATAGGGAGCTCCACCGAAGGCCCCAGTGGCAGCGTTCGCATGCAGTTCCACCCTCATTTCGGCGCACCCCTCACAGGGTTCGTGGCCCCATAGGGAGCTCCACCGAAGGCCCCAGTGGCAGCGTTCGCATGCAGTTCCACCCTCATTTCGGCGCACCCCTCACAGGGTTCGTGGCCCCATAGGGAGCTCCACCGAAGGCCCCAGTGGCAGCGTTCGCATGCAGTTCCACCCTCATTTCGGCGCACCCCTCACAGGGTTCGTGGCCCCATAGGGAGCTCCACCGAAGGCCCCAGTGGCAGCGTTCGCATGCAGTTCCACCCTCATTCGGCGCACCCCTCACAGGGTTCGTGGCCCCATAGGGAGCTCCACCGAAGGCCCCAGTGGCAGCGTTCGCATGCAGTTCCACCCTCATTTCGGCGCACCCCTCACAGGGTTCGTGGCCCCATAGGGAGCTCCACCGAAGGCCCCAGTGGCAGCGTTCGCATGCAGTTCCACCCTCATTTCGGCGCACCCCTCACAGGGTTCGTGGCCCCATAGGGAGCTCCACCGAAGGCCCCAGTGGCAGCGTTCGCATGCAGTTCCACCTTCATTTCGGCGCACCCCTCACAGGGTTCGTGGCCCCATAGGGAGCTCCACCGAAGGCCCCAGTGGCAGCGTTCGCATGCAGTTCCACCCTCATTCGGCGCACCCCTCACAGGGTTCGTGGCCCCATAGGGAGCTCCACCGAAGGCCCCAGTGGCAGCGTCGCATGCAGTTCCACCCTCATGTCGGCGCACCCCTCTTCAGGGAGCTCCACCGAAGGCCCAGTGGCAGCGTTCGCATGCAGTTCCAGGCGCACCCCTAGGGTTCGTGGCCCCATAGGAGCTCCACCGAAGGCCCCAGTGGCGTGGCCCCATAGGGAGCCCCACCGAAGGCCCCAGTGGCAGCGTTCGCATGCAGTTCCACCTTCATGTCGGCGCACCCCTCGCAGGGTTCGTGTCCCCATAGGGAGCTCCACCGAAGGCCCCAGTGGCAGCGTTCGCATACAGTTCCACCTTCATTTCGGCGCACCCCTCACAGGGTTCGTGGCCCCATAGGGAGCGCCACCGAAGGCCCCAGTGGCAGCGTTCGCATGCAGTTCCACCCGAATTTCGGCGCACCCCTCACAGGGCTCGTGGCCCCATAGGGAAGTCCACCGAAGGCCCCAGTGGCAGCGTTCGCATGCAGTTCCACCCTCATTTCGGCTCACCCCTCATAAGGTTCGTGGCCCCATAGGCCCCATAGGGAGCTCCACCGAAGGCCCCAGTGACAGCGTTCGCATGCAGTTCCACCCTTATTTCGGCGCAGCCCTCACAGGGTTCGTGGCCCCGTAAGGAGCTCCACCGAAGGCACCAGTGGCAGCGTTCGCATACAGTTCCACCCTCATTTCGGAGCACCCCTCAGGCCCCATAGGGAGCTCCACCGAAGGCCCCAGTGGCAGCGTTCGCATGCAGTTCCACCTTCATTTCGGCGCACCCCTCGCAGGGTTCGTGGCCCCATAGGGAGCTCCACCGAAGGCCCCAGTTGCAGCGTTCGCATGCAGTTCCACCCTCATTTCGGCGCACCTCTCACAGGGTTCGTGCCCCCACAGGGAGCTCCACCGAAGGCCCCAGTGGCAGCGTTCGCATGCAGTTCCGCCCTCATTTCGGCGCACCCCTCGCAGGGTTCGTGGCTCCATAGGGAGCTCCACCGAAGGCCCCAATGGCAGCGTGCGCATGCAGTTCCACCCTCACTTCGGCGGACCCCTCGAAAGGCTTGCGGCCCCACGGGGAGCTCCACCGAAGACGGTGATCACAAGTGCGGCACTCACAGCTGCATAATCATGGCTGGGTCCTTCGGCAGGCGAATTGTTCTTTCGCCAGGGGAGGGGGCTCTGGGAGATTTGCCTCAGTCTTACCAGCCTGGAACATATCCCTATCCCTATGCTGGGCACCTCTTCATCACGATGCCAATCTTAGGGATTCCCTCATTGTTTGAGGGCGAATCCCTAAGATGGTCATCGCCTTTGGGCGTGTCAATCTTAGGGATAGGGATACGTTCGAGGCTGGTAAGGGATTTGCCTCAATCGGCCTTCGCGTCTTTCTTCACGCTGGCCGTGCCGCGGCACAAGCTGCACCCCTTCTCCATCGCCCGCCGCGGCCGCGCCTCCGGCCCCTCGCCCGCGGGAGCCTGGAGCCGGGGCGTGGACCTAAGGAACCCTAAATAAGGAACGATGCCCCTTTTCTCCACACGTTGAACTTCGATTTCCCATGGGAAACCTAAGGGAAACCTGAGGCAAGCTGTGAAACACTTAAGGAACGCGGAGCCCCTCCCCAACCAAAAGGGCTCCTTCTTCAGCGCCCCGACTGTAGAGCCTGGTGCTCCCGCGGCCACGGGGCGGGGCGGCCTCGGCCATAACGGCTGGAGAGCGCCCGCGGCCGCGTCGTCGCCCCTCCACAGGTGGAGGCCCGTCCACAGGGATGCTCCCACAGGAGGCCCAGACCCTGAGGCCCCGGGGCGTCCACGGACTCCTGGTGTGGGAGCGTCGCGCTTTTGAAGGGGCCCTGGGACACACAAGTAAATACGCACAAATAAAAACACACCCCCCATATTGTCCCATATGTTCTGGGTTTTTTGTCTTCCCCCCCACTTCCCATATTTTCCCATATTTTCTGGGGAATCGAAGATTCATTGTGTCTGTGTGTTTTTGTTTCCCTCCTGAGCTTTCCACGGCAGAACCATCGAAACCCAAGAGGCCCAGAGGCTACCCTGGAGGCAAGCCGGGTGTCTCTTGGCACGGGTTCCCACTGCAGTCCATCCGCGGCCTCGCCGTCACCCCTATAGATCTCCGACGATGCGCCAATCGACGCTACATCGTCGCAAGTCGACGCTACCCGGCGTTCAACCGATACTAACCGACGTTCGCCGACGCTGATGAAGGGGCCCCAGGACACACAAATAAATACACACAAATAAATACACACAAATACATACACACAAATCAAAATGTGTGTTGTTTGTCCCTCCTGAGCTGAATCGGCGTTACCTCCCCGACTCCCAGACGCTAACCGACGCCGATCGACGCTGGGGGTGGATTCAGGGGGGTATGCCAGGCTCCCACGATGTGCTGCCCGAACGACACGTCCCTGTTCAGTCGGGGAGCTTTCTCCAGATTTCCCTCTCAGAGGTCCGTCCTCCGGCCCCGGGAGCAGCGACGACGGATCTGGGGCGAAAAGCTGTGGATGGGGTCGGGACTTCTGGTTCAGCGCAGTGGAACAAAAACCATCGTCAGATGTCTGCCCCTGCACACCGCTCGCGGAACGTTCCTTCCGAGTCGACGCCGACCCAGGTGCTCCTCGTTGTCCTTCTTCCTCATCGTGCTCGCTCCGTCCCCTCCCATCCTCCCCCCACGCCTCCTGCAATTCCCGCGTCCTCTCTCCTACTCGACCTCATGTTTGCCTTACTGTTGCGCCACTTTGCGCGACCTCTCTGCCTGACCCTGCTTGAAAAGACGAAGCGTGCACAGCCCCCACTACCGCAACCACAACAACCATCGGCACCTTCACCGTCACACACACCTCCACGGTCACAAGTACATTTACCTCACAAGCTGCGCGGATGCGATCTGCAATGCTAGGGTCCAGCGTCTGTTCCAAAACGAAGGGCCAAACGGGGCAAGGATACGCACTGCGAGATCGGTGAACGCCGATGTACCCCGCTAAAGGCAAAATTGGTGCCGGGGCTGAAAACTCCCGCTGACGCTGGCACTGACATCGTGCGCACAAGATCTCCACCACGCTGACCACATTAATTTAAAATTATCCCAGTGCGACCCTACCTAGGAGTTGGAGCACCTAGGAAAGCAGCATTAGTAGTAACAGTGAAGCTAAACTAGCTAAGCTAAAGCTAAGCTAAAGCTAAGCTAAAGCTAAGCTAAAGCTAAGCTGAAGCTAAGCTAAAGCTAAGCTAATGCTAAGCTAACACTAAGCTAAAGCTAAGCTAAAGCTAAGCTGAAGCTAAGCTAAAGCTAAGCTAAAGCTAAGCTACAGCTAAGCAAATTCTAAACTGAAATTAAGATAAAGCTAAAGCTAAATATAAGCTAACGCTAAGCTAAAGCTAAGCTAACGCTAAGCTAAAGCTAAGCTAAAGCTAAGCTGAAGCTAAGCGAAAGCTAAGCTAAAGCTAAGCCAAGGCTAAGCTGGAGCTAAGCTAAAGCTAAGCTAAAGCTAAACTGAAGCTAAGCTAAAGCTAAGCTAAAGCTAAGCTAAAGCTAAGCTAAAGCTAAGCTACAGCTAAACTAAAGCTAAGCTCAATCTAAGGTAAAGCTAAGCTAAAGCTACGCTCAAGCTAAGCTAAATCTAAGATGAAGCTAAGCTACAGCTAAGCTAAAGCTAAGCTAAAGCTGAGCTACAGCTAAGCTAAATCTAAGCTAACACTAAGCTAAAGCTAAGCTAACACTAAGCTGAAGCTAAGCTAAAGCTAATCTAAATCTAAGCTAAAGCTAAGCTAACACTAAGCTGAAGCTAAGCTAAAGCTAAGCTAAATCTAAGTTAAAGCTAAGATAACGCTAAGCTAAAGCTAAGCCAGGGCTAAGCTAACACTAGGATAAAGCTAAGCTAAAGCTAAGCTAAAGCTAAGCTGAAGCTAAGCTAAAGCTAAGTTAAAGCTAAGCTAAAGCTAAGCTAACACTAAGCTGAAGCTTAGCTGAAGCTAAGCTAAAGCTAAGCTAAAGCTAAGTTAACACAAGCTAAGCTAAAGCTAAAGCTAAAGCTAACGCTAAAGCTAAAGCTAAGCTAAAGCTAAAGCTAAAGCTAAAGCTAAGGTTAAAGCTCCCAGGGGACTGGGGGAACCGCGGGGCGGGGACTGGGGGAACCGCCCGGGGCTGTTTCCATTGCCCGGCCCCTTTAGCTAGAGAGTAAGAACACTTCGAGGCAGAGCCTAGGTAGGGAAAAAGTGGCGATTCTGCTGCGTTTGCTGATTGCACCGCGGACGTGGGAGGCCGTTGGTCGGCTTGCGGTGGCTGCTGGAAGATCCGCTGGAACCCGCAGGTCGGCTCACGTCGCATTTCTGGCGCGCGTGGCGCACAGGCCGTGTTTGGTTTCAACGTTGCGACGTTCCTGGCATGTTCGGGCGGACGGAACGCTCGACATGTCGGACCTGAATGACGAACGCGCAGAGCCCGTTCCCTCGCCCAGCCAAGGGGCCCAAACCCCGTGGCCAACACGAGGCGGCGTGGCCTCGGGCGAGCTGGCCTCTCAGCGCGCAACGAGAACCCCCCGCGCAAGCGTCGTCCAGGGCGGCCCCAAATCCGCCGATCCGGCGTGTGAATCCCAAGAGGCGCCTGAGGGGGCGCCAAGACGGCGGAAGAAGTGCCGAAGACGGCCAAAGAAGCCCCCAGCAGGCCCCCATAGGCCCCCGAAAGGCCTGAAGGGGCCCCAAGACGCGCCAGAGTGGCCCCGAAGAGGTCCCTGAAACCCCCTAAGGGCCCCCAGAAGACTCGAAACACGCATCCAAGACGGCCTGTAAAGGCCTCCAAACTGCCGCCAAGATACCCCCCCGAGAAGCCCAAAACCGACCCCAATGCTTCCGCGGCACTTACGTCTGAACACAAGCGCTGCAACACAAAAAGTTATTCCACGTTTTCACAGTTTCTCCCGTCTCCGGTGTCCTTCACATCCATGCTCTCACATGGGCCCGCAGAGGACCGCGCGGAGGCCCCGGAAACCCCCAAAACATCATGGTTCCCAGCAGAGACTGGTGATGCACAAGGCTTCACAAAGAACTGGGACGCAGACAGCTCTAGCACAAACCTCTTCAGAGAGCGCGCCAAATCGGCGAGGTGCCAACCCGAAGAGGGCCAACACCTGGCCCAAATGAGGCTTCCAACAACCGCCGAAAATCTCCTCATCCTCGTCACGTTGCTCCTTGTTCCCCCTCACCCTCTTCCTCTTCCCGCTTCCTCCTGCTCCTCCTCATCCTCAACATCCTGCTACTCCTGCCCCTCCCCTCCCACCCCCTCCACCTCATCATGATCCTCCTCCTCATCATCATCCTACTCCGTTGCCTCCATTCCCAATCCTCATCATCATCCTCACCGCTCGCCGTCGTCGCCAATCATGACCGCCATCGCGCGCTCCCGGCAACAACGGAAGCGTCCCGGATCGGCGGCACTGGCCGGAGGCCTCTACAATAGCCACGACACAGCCCCAAAAAGCTCCAGACAACACCAAGGCTGCATTAAACAGCCAGGAAAGGACAGGAAACAAAAAAACGGCCACGAAAAGGCCCCGCGACGCCTGCAAGACAGCTCCAGCGCCACGCGCCCTAAGAGGGCCACGCTAGGACCCCGAGACGGCAAAAATCAGTCAAATGACGCCACCGAGGAAAACCCACATATCTATGGGCATGTCATATTGCGCCCTGCTTCGTTCGAGCTTGATGTTTGTGCACGTCTTTGCGATGCGGCGAAGCGTCGCCGATTTCCCGGTTCCGCCCATGCCGCGCGGCGCGGCCCTGGCACGCGCAGCGCCCAGCTGCCCTGCGCACCCCCTGCGGCGTGGCGCGCCTGCAATGCCCTGCGACCGTTGCCAGGCGGCGAGGAAATTCAACGCCTGCCACGTTTTGCGACGTTGGCGCGCTTTGCGCCCCAGCCAACCCCCTTGCGGCCCAACGTCCCGGGGGGCGTCCGGGTCCACGCCCGTGATGCGGGCCGCGTGCGCTCGCCGAACAGTCGCTGGCGGAGAGCAATCGTCTGTCCCCGTCTCCCCTGCCAAATGAGCAAAGACGTCTCGGGGCAATCCACCAAAGAAAGGTCCTGCAAGTACATCATCGACCACTGTCTCCTGGCATCGTCCGCGCCTCGTTGACGCCGCAACCCGCTGTACTTGGTGGGGAGCGTCTCGGGCCATCAGTTTAGAAGGTGTCGCTGGTAAGCGTTGAGTGCGTTGTGTGCCAAGACGTTCCCACGCCTGACAACATATCCGCGCAACTAGATCTACCTCGGCGCCCATCTCTAGCATTGAGATTTTGCGCTGCTCGCGCGGAGGCGGCAGCGCGGACATGGAAAGAGTCACTGGCGCGAGCGCACCCGCGTGAAAACCTGATCGGTCTGAGCCGGCATGCGCCATGGTGGTTGCATGTCTGGATGATGATCGCGCTTCCCCTGTGGCCTGGGAAAAGAAGACACCCCTGCTACGTCCTAGGTGACTGGCACGGGTAGAAGCCCCGCCTCCTGCGCACCCATTCTGACGTCGACAATGTGCCACGCCTGTAGAGCCCTGGGCGACTGGCACGGATATAAAGAGACCCCATCCCCTGCGCACCTCCTCTGGCATCACCCCGTGCGCATCGACAAAGTGCCACGCTTGCTATTCCCTGAACGACCGGCTGTGGTAGCGGCCGCGCCCA